GGAGGCCATCTTGGGCGTCTTGGAGGCCAGCTTGGGCGTGTTGGAGGCCTCTTGGGCCGTCTTGGGGCCCTCTTGGGGCCATCTTGGAGACCACTTGGGCCGTCATGGGGCCCTCTTGGGGGCCTCTTGAGCGATCTTGGGGGCCTCTTGGGCCGTCTGGAGCCGTCGGAATGCGGAGAAGAAGCAAATTCCCAAATCCTTCAAAACCGAAGGACCATCAATGATTTTGACCTCTTCGGGCCCTCCTGGAGGACCTCTTGGAGGCCTCTTGGGCCGTCTGGGAGGCCTCTGGGGGGCCTCTTGGCCCGTCTTGGGCCGTCTTGGACTCTCTTGGGCCGTCTTGGAGGCCGCCTTGGACCATCTTGGGCGGACTTGGAGGCGATCTTGGACCATCTTGGAGGCCATCTTGGGCCATCTTGGTCATCCTGGCCATCTTGGAGGCCATCTTGGAGCCGTCTGGGGCAGAACATTGGGGAAGTGAGGTCCGTGGAAAAAATCCCGGGACCCCGGCGGGTCGGGCCGAAACCCACTGGGAGAGTTGGAATCCACTGCCCCTCTGTTATGAGGCCGTTGTATAGGAGAGGGAACAGAGGACACAGTGTTTACACAGTTTTAAGGAATTAGTGAATTCAGCATGGGTCGGGCTTGAAGTGCCTCGAAGAAAGCGCGCGCACCCGAATCGCAGACATATGGCTATATGCGGACCCGGGACACTTTGCTTCCCGTCGTCGTCCTCGCCCTTGCTCCGTTCCCCTTCCTTTCTTCCCTCCCCTGGATGGTGTCGAAAGCGTCCGCGGCTCGGGCGGGGGAGCGCCCCTTCCCACCTCCCTTATTTTTCCTCGTTCCTCTTTGCCTCCTTGCTCCACCGTCCGTCGTCCTACCTCGTCCACCCTCCTTGTTCGAAAAGTGAAGTCCCTGGTGCCGCGTGCCCGCGTCAGCGGTAAATGCTTTCCCGGTATCCGCGCACAGCGGCGCAACCAAACAGAGGGGATTGCCAGTGCGAGAGTTCGGGGCGCACCCAAAATTCGGGCGGCACGGCCGCCGAGCACAGTCGCATCGCTAACATGTAAATTATAGGTGCCTGCGGCAAGGTCCGCCCCCCTGCCAGAGCAGTGGTCTATATGGCGACGCGTGGAGCTTTGACTGTTAAGAGGTCCATGACATGTGACATCTCTCGTGTTTTCGGACTGCCGCGCGGCATTCTTTGGGGTCCTTCGAGGCCTTTTGGGGCGTCTTCGGGCCGTTGGGGGCCGCTTTGGCGCCGCGTTACACCGCGGCCGCCCTGGGCCAGGGAAGCGTGTATTTGCGGTTCTCTCCGGGGCGCCCTGGGCCGGGGAAGTGTGTATTTGCAGTCCCCCCCAGCTGGGCATGTCAACCTCGGTTCTGGGCTGGCAAAGTCGGGGCGCCCTCAAGGTGGCGAGCGTTTACCTTTTCGAAATGCACAGATCAAGGTGTGATCTGTGTACACAGTTTGTGTCTTCAACTGTGTATTTTCGTGTGTGGGCCGACTGTTTACACAGATCGTGGTGTGATCTGTGTAGACAGATCTCGTTCCCATCTGTGTATTTGGAGTGTGTCCCTCGCGGGTGGTGTTGAATGGGCGGGAACTTTCGCGTTTCTCTTCCGGCTGGTCCAGGGGGGCGTCGTGCGCGGTCGAAATACACAGTTCGTGTCTCCAACTGTGCATTTGTTGCGCTCCGTTCGCTGGAGTGGTCTCTGGGCGGGAGTTTCCGCGGGTCTCCCGGCTGGTCCAGGAGGGGGCCGTGGTCTGGGCATGCAAAGGCGCGGGGGGGGTGGAGATGGTGGGCTGTGGGAAGGAAGGGGTTCGATAGGAGGGGTGGCCGAGGGGCCAAGGATGAACGGGACTGGACGAGAGCGGAAGAAATGAGCCCAGGAGGATGTGGATCATCGGTGTCAGCATCGCGAGGGCGAGGGAGGTGGGGGAGGCAGAAGTTGGGGGCATGATGTGCACTAGGGCGTAGAGGATTGGAGGAGGGCAGGCATGTGGACGATGGGGGAACGAATCCGGCGCAGGAAGACGACGAGGAACGACGTGAATTGGCACATGGGGGGTGAGCAATGTGGATGAAGGGCACGATGAGGACCGGGGCGATCGGAGGGGCATGAGGAGGGTGGGGCCACAGCGAAAGGATATTTGGAAGAGGCGGGGGGTGGGGCATGAGTTCGAGGCGGGCGCCAGCTAACGATTAGCTGAACAGTGTTTTGCGTGTCCGTGCGCCCCCAGAACACAGTGACTTGTTGCAGAACTTCATGATATGGGTAATCGTGCGCTTCGTGTTTCAAGGCCAAAGGTTCGAGTCCGCGACGCCCCATGGCGTCGCGATGATGCCGCCCCGATTTGCCAGACCGCAGATGCACAGATACGCAGAATATGTGTTGCAACGTTTGTGTCATGACCCTCTCTATACTAACAGACCCACGTTGGAATCCAATGGGAGAGTTCTTTGGGAAAAAGAGCCAAAACCAAAACCGATAGGGTCTGGCACGCCGGGCACCCCTTTGCTGAAGCAGAAGGGGGCGGCGGATCGAAGACGCCTACGGCGAATCACCGCCGCCCCCTGCCTTTTTGGAAGCGCCTATGTGGCCGAACGTTGAGGCCAGACCTGCCAAGCTATCGGACCACGTGTTCCCCGAATCGGTTTGGAAAGCCTTCGGGGAACACGTGGGCATCTTGAAGGTCATCTTGGCCGTCTTGGAGGCCTCTTGGGCAAGCTTTGGGCGATCTTTGGGGCTTTTTGGGCCGTCTCGGGCCAGCTTCGAGCCAACTTCGGCCATCTTGGTGGGTTCCTGGCACGTCTGAAGCCGTCGGAAGCCGTTTGGGGGGCCTCTATGGGCCGACTTGGGGCCCGCTTGGAATGCTCCAGGGCCGTCTTGGAGGCCATCTTGGGCGTCTGGGAGGCCATCTTGGGCGTGTTGGAGGCCTCTTGGGCCCTCTTGGGGCCCTCTAGGGGCCATCTTGGAGGCCACTTGGGCCATCATGGGGCTCTCTTGGGGGCCTCTTGGGCGATCTTGGGGGCTTCTTGGGCCGTCTTGAGCCGTCGGAGAGCCGAAAAGGCGCAAATGCCAAAATCCTTCAAAAACCAAGGGAAAATCAATGATTTTGGCCTCTTCGGACTCTCCTGGAGGACCTCTTGGAGGCCTCTTGGGCCGTCTGGGAGGCCTCTGGGGGGCCTCTTGGGCCGTCTTGGGCCGTCTTGGACTCTCTTGGGCCGTTTTGGAGGCCGTCTTGGACCATCTCGGGCGGACTTGGAGGCCATCTTGGGCCATCTTCGCGATTTTTTGAGGATGTCCCGAGCGAAACGGCCGTTTTTTTGAGGATTTGTTTCCGGATTGAGGTCCTTTCGGCTTCCTCCCGGGACCCCGGCGGGACGTGCCGGAGCCCACTGGGGGAGTTCTTTTGGAAAAAGAACCAAAACCAAAACCTGAAACGTCCAGCACGCCGTGCACCCCTGCAAGCAGGGGGCGGCGGATCCTAGTGACCTTCGGCCCATCCCGCCACCGTGCCTGGGTTGTGGGTCTGAGGCCTCTTGTAGATGTGTTGTGGTGTCGTGGGGAGCCTCTCGGGGGCCTCTTGGAGGCGGCTTGGGCGCCTCGTGGAGGCCTGGTGGGGCCTCGTGCGGTATTTTTGGGGGTTCTTGGAGCCCTCTCTCAGGAGGGAGAAAAACACACAGACACAATTAATCGTCGATCCCCCAGAAAATATGGGAAAATATAGGAAGTGGGGGGGAAGACAAAAACCCCGAAAATATTGGAAAAAATAGGGAAGCCTTTATTTGTGTGAACTTACTTGTGTGTCTCAGGGCCCCTTCACTGTCGGGCGCGTCTTGGGCGCCTCTGGGGGCGCGAATTTGGCGCGAGTCACGAAGGATCGAGGCTTCGGGGACGCGAATGTGGTGCGCTCTTCCCGTGCTCGTGGCCTCGAGGGCGCGAATGCGGTGTAACTTGCGAGAGATCGTGGCCTCGGGGGCGCGAGTGCGTAGTAATGTACAAGGGATCGTAGTCTCGGGGGCGCGACCGTGTCGTACCAGATGCGAGAATTTTGTGCAATCTACGGGGGATCCTGGCCTCAGGATTGTGAATACGGTGTGTTTTGCAAGGGATCGTGGCGCCCCAGAAATTGTTATGAGGATGTGATTCGGGGACGCTAGCCGAGCCTCCCTCGCGCGGATAGTAACAAATTACAGTGAGAAGCAGAAAGCAATATCGTAACATTGGAAACTGGAAACTGGAACTGGCGCAGGGAGCAGCAAACCTAAGCCTCGCAGCCTGATGGCCCCGCAGGGGGGCCGGCGGATTTGTAAGGAAGAGGGATGGAGGGAGGGTGAGGAGGAGGAGGTGGGGGAGGGACAGCATGAGGCAGAGAAAAGATATTGATGATAAGCAGAGGGGTCAGGACGAAGAGGAGTCGCACGTGCACACGCAGGCGCCGCGCGAGCACGCGATGCACCGCCCTTCCGGGGCTACCTCCTCCTCCTCCTCCTCCTCCTCCTCCTCCTCTCCTCCCCCTCCTCCTCCCCCTCCTCCTCCTCCTCCTCCTCCTCCTCCTCCTCCTCCTCCTCCTCCTCCTCCTCCTGGTCCCCCTCCCATTTGCCCCGAGGGCCGAGGGCCACACCTTCCGGACCTCCGCGCGGGCGCCTCTGCCATGTGGCGAGTCACCTCGTCTCCTCGTCCTCCTCGGCCTCCTGCTCCTTCTCCCAATTCTGATCCCCCTCCCCCCGTCGTCGTCGTCGTCGTCGTCGTCGTCGTCGTCGTCGTCGTCGTCGTCGTCGTCGTCGTCGTCGTCGTCGTCGTCGTCGTCGTCGTCCTGGTCCTGATCCTGGTGCCGGTCCTGGTCCTGGTCCTGGTCCTGGTCCTGGTCGTCGTCGTCGTCGTCGTCGTCGTCGTCGTCGTGGTCCTGGTCGTGGTCCTGGTCGTCGTTGTCGTCGTCGTTGTCGTCGTCTTCTCCTTCTCGTCCTTCCCAGATCTGCCTGCGATCCCAGGTTGTCATCGGCGACCTCGGTCTGTCGACGATGCTGAAGGGGTCGCACGCCCAGTCCATCGTTGGCACCCCAGATTTCATCGCGCCGGAGATCTTTGAGGACCGGCCGGCCGCCTTCTCCTGAGGAGGAGGAGGATGATGAGGAGGAGGATGAGGAGGAGGGGCAAGAGGAGGAGGTTGAGGAGGAGGAGGAGGAGGTTGAGGAGGAGGAGGGGGACGAGGAGGAGGAAGAGGAGAGGGGAGGCATTGCAAGAGGGGCAGGAGGAGGCGGAGTGTGACAAACGGGGGAGGGAAGGGAGGAGGGCGAGGAGGAGGAAGAGGAGGAGGAGGAGGAGGAGGAGGAGGAGGAGGAGGAGAAGGCGGTAGAGGCAAGGAGGAGGGGGGAGGGGGCGAGGGGAATGGGGGAGGAGGGAGAGGAAAGGAGGGTCGGGCCGGACGAGAGGGTAGGATAGAGAACAAGTGGTTACGGAATTTGCTGCACACAGCTGGTTTCGCCACGCCTTCGGGCCCACTCCTCGATACATGGGCGCCAGGAGGCACCAGGAACACCCGCTACGTCAATCGATTCTCTTTCCCTGCCCTTTGCTATCATATTCTTTCGTCCCCCACGAGAGAAGGGGACGAGGCGGAGGGGGAGAGGGGAAGGAGTCCGTGAGGATGGGAGGGGGAGGGGGAAGGGATGAGGAGAAGGAGGAGGAGGACCAGGAGCAGACACAAGAGTAGACGGAAGAGGAGGAAGCGGGTGGGGAGGGTATGCAAGGAGGGGCAGGGGAAGAGGAGCGGCAGGAGGAGGAGGAGGTTCTGGTACGCGATGGCGTGTGAGCGCCAGTGCGAGCGTAGCGTAGCAGGAGGTGGAGACGGAGGAGGAGAAGGAGGAGGAGGGTGAACTGTTACACATAGTGGTAGTCGCCCTGATCGCTCTGGTTGCGTCCTTTCTCTCGTCCTTCCACCTCACCTCGCCTTCACTCCTTCCTCACTTCGTCTCCCTCGCCCAGCTTCCTGCCGCATGCAGTGATCAGAGGCCCCTCTGGAAACAACAAATGAATTCGTACAAATCATGTGTTCCCAGCCATCCTGTGGTGTTGGGGCCTCGTTCTGAAGAGGCAGCGCCCCGCGTTCTCCTTCCTTCCTCCCCCCCTCCTCCCTCCTCACTGCGGTTCTCCCACCCAGTACAGCGTTCCGCGGCCCCAGAGGGAGCTCCACCGATGGTCCCATTGGCGCAGTTCGCTTGCGCCCCTCCCCGCCCAGTCCAGCATTTCGTGGTCCCAGAGGGAGCTCCTCCGAAGGTCCCAGCGGTGCAGTTCGCATGCGCGCCCCCCCGGCCTAGAACAGCGTTTCGTGGTCTCAGAGGTAGCTCCACCGAAGGTCCCAGGTGGCGCAGTTCGCATGCGCCACCCCCACCCAGTACAGCGTTTCGCAGCCCCAGAGGGAGCTCCACCGATGGTCCCATTGGCGCAGTTCGCTTGCGTCCCCCCGCCCCCGTCCAGTACAGCTCGTGGTCTCAGAGGGAGCTCCACCGAAGGTCCCAGTGGCGCAGTTCGCATGCGCATCCCCCGCCCAGTATATCGTTTCGTGGTCTCAGAGGTAGCTCCACCAAAGGTCCCAGTGGCGCAGTTCGCATGCCCCCCCCCCCCCCGCCCAGTACATCGTTTCGTGGTCTCAGAGGAGCTCCACAAAGGTCCCTGCGCAGTTCGCATGCGCCCCCCCCGCCCAGTACAGCGTTTCGTGGTCTCAGAGGGAGTTCCAACCGAGGTCCAAGTGGCACAGTTCGCATTCATCCCCCCGCCCAATACAGCGTTTCGTAGTCTCAGAGGGAGGTCCACCGAAGGTCCCAGTGGCGCAGTTTGCATGCACCCCCCCCGTCTAGTCCAGCGCTTCGTGGCCCCCTAGGGCGCTTCACCGAAGGTCCCAGTGGCACTGTTCGCGTACGTCGTCCCGCCCAGTGCAGCGTTTCGTGGCCCACAGGGAGTTCCACGGGAGACGATACTCACAATTGCGGTTTTCACAGTTGCATATGGTTGGTTTCTTCGCCAGGCTAATTGTTTACGTTCCCTTCCAATCCACACTTGTGCTTGAAATTGGCGTGCCAAAGCCTTGGTTTCCATCTCCCCCATCCTCATTCTCTCTGTCGTTCTCTCTCTCTCTCTCTCCCGCCTCTTTTTGCTTCTTCTCCTTCTCCCGTTCCACATCCCCATCCCTCTTCTCCCCCTTCCCTTCGCCTCGCCCTCGGCGCCGTCGCCGCAGTGGTTCTCGTAGTGTTTGTGGCACGCATAAGTGTTCTTCATTACCTTCCCGAGTCCACATCCGCCCATCATTGACCCAGATGCCCCGCAACTCGCCCCACGATTCCGAAGCAATTCCCCCGATGGCCCTGAGACCGTTGAATGAAGGCCCAAGGCAGCCCACGAAGCTTCTATGGCTACCCAGGAGTTATGCAAGACCGTTCGGCCGAACGCGTGCTTCTGCTGCAGACTCCGTCGCTATGTCACCTCAGGATACTGCATCAGGATCCGCTGATACTTTGTCTACAACTTGAGCGTGCGCGAAGGGTGCGCGATGGTTCTAGCGGGTACCTACACATACATACACACACGCAACCACACGTTCATATACATACACGCACACACATACATCCATACACATACGCACATACCTACACATATGCATACACACATACACACATACACACATAAGTACATCCATGCATGTATGCATACATACATACATACATACATACATACATACACACAACCATCCATACATACCCACATGCACACATTCACGCATGCATACACACATACACGCATACACATACACACGCCTATACATACACACTTACACATATACACACATACATGCATACACACATACATACTTACAATTATTCATACATACATGCATCCACACATCCATACATAGTTACATACATGCATCCATACATCGATACACATGAACACACTTACGCGCACGCATGCGTACCCACCTACATACATACCTGCCACCATGTATGCATGTCGACATACCTACATATACACATACATACATGCATGCATGCATACCTACATCCGTACATCCAGACGTACATACATACATACACACGCACGCGCATGCCTACCGACCTACCGACCTACATACATCTCTTCATACGTAACTCTAGGTTCATATGTGTGCTTATACATACGAGTGCATGTTGCACGCATGCGTATACTATAGCTGTACACAACGTATATATTTTCATATATGCATATACACATAGTTGCACCGATTTAAGGCTATCGACCTATACATGTGTACATGTGTGTATAGACACGCGCGCGACTATGTGTATACACATATGTGTATGTATTTACACATATATATATATGTATATCTTGCGTTACCTGGGTTTTGGTGGACGCGAGGCTGGAAACGTCACGATTTGCTCCGGCGCCGTCTGGGAGCTAGCTACTCTCTGTCAGTCATTCCCAGCCAGAGCGTTCTGGCACAATTCGTGGCGTTGCTTTTGGGAGCACAATTTGCGGATAGACCTCCACACTGGCCCATTGCAGGACACCACCTGCTCTGGGCTGGTTTCGGCGGTCCCACTAGGAGCTCAGGGGGTGCCGCTCGTGAGGCACGCACATGCGCAGACACAGACACAGACACACGCACACACACACACACACACTCACTCACACCCAGACGCTCTTATCTGATCCAGTGGACGAGTGACGTCACTGCGGCGAGAGCTAAGCCAGGGCTCGCTTAGCGTCATTATGCCTAGGCGAGTTGCCCTGACCAGGGATGTGAAGGAGCATGCTGTAGAATAAAGGGCTTCAGAAGCCGTCGTGCCCCAAGAGGGGGATGAGGAGGAGGAGGAGGAGGAGGAGGAGGAGGAGGAGGAGGAGGAGGGGGTAGGAGGAGGAGTAGGAGTAGTAGGAGGAGGGGGAGGAGGAGGAGGAGGAGGAGGAGGAGGAGGAGGAGGAGGAGGAGGATGAGGAGGATGAGGAGGAGGAGGAGGAGGGGGATGGGGGAGGAGAGGGGGGGGGGAGGGGAGGGGAGAAATAGGCGGATAATGAAGAGGCAAGTCAGCATGGGGGCCTGAAAAGGCTCCGTTGGAACCGAGCAGAGAGAAGGGGCGGGCCCACCCTGCAAGTTCGGTCAAACGGCATATCGTTGAGCGGTGCCGCAGCCTCCCCTGAGCGCAGGCCCCCCCGCCAGAGCGTCAGCCAGACAAGTTGGGCGTGCACCCTCATGCCTTGCTGGGCCGTGGCCGACGCACTATAAGCGGGCCTCTCTGGAGCATCAGCCATATTAGTCGGGCTTGCACCCTGATGCCTTCCGCGGCCCCAGAGGCAGGGCGCCATGACGGGACGACGACACGCAGCAGCAACAGCTGGCAGGACAGAGGCGCGTCATCATGGGGCTTGAAGACGTTGCGCTAGAACCGAGCAGAGTGAAAGGGGCCCGC